GTGCACGCGTTTCTCGGCGCGTGCTGCAGGACACACCACCATCAGCGTGTCTGGAAAGAATACATTATAGAATACAATTGAACGCTATTATTTCTTGTTAGTTTTATGATACTGTCAGTTGAGACACTCTAGCATCGAATGAGAGGATTATTTGGAAAATGCAAGAAATCGGTTGTTATTCCCCTTGAATTTGCCTGAAGCGACCGACAAAACTACGAAAACCACAGGACAGCCTGTCTCTGGGCCGAGAGTTTTGAGGATATCGGCATATTGCGGCAATATCGATAATCGACTGTGCGAGGAAAGACCAGTAATTGAATTGTCGCCAATTTATTCGCTGTCCTATATTCCGTACTTGTCAGCTGTAAATATTAGGACTTTTATTTAAAAAAATTCAATGAATACAGTAAAATCATCAATTTTTACAGAATAAGTGCATTTTCAGAAAATCTTTTCTCAAGGAGTACCATCGTAAAGTCACTCGCCGCAAAGATTTGTAAGGCGCGGCTTCATGTGTTGCTATCTCTGTGATTTTATGTTATCGATGACGTAGCCCATTAGTAGAATCTAGGCTTAATTGGATATTAAAAACTCTGTGAATTGGAAAGTAACACTACTTGTGCAAACTTAAATGGTGTTTACCTATGTTAAGTGTGCGTGAACTTGCTCAACTGCAGTGAAATACACAGTGGTATATGTTTGAGTTGACGTGGCTTGAAAGGTGTTCTGTGTTGTCGTTGATATGGAACGTATGTTCTCGTTCCCTTAATTGATATTATTAAAATCCAGTGAGAAATGTGACGAATATTTACACGCCCAGTGCACAGGGAAACAGAATAATTAATACAAATGTATGTCTCGTGCAGCCCTTGGTAAACTACGATATGTGGACTTATATAACATTACGCTCCTACACATGAAGCTGCAATGTGCCGCTATAATATCTACTTAAACTATGGAAATAAATGCATTCTTTATTATTTGACTAAATGTGTTGCGTATTGGAGTTCGCTGAAGATACCACATTATATTGACTACATACAATCTGTCGTCATGTAAGTTAACCAATTTTCACGTGAAATATGAATTCAAACTTACTGAATAGGCGAATCATACGATTCTGTGCCTCAAAGATTGACATCCTATCATCCATCATCGTAATCTGTTTCCCTTTTATCCATGGTTCGTGGCGATTTTCCGACAGATTTCCTCATGCAATTTTGTACGTATTTTTCTCGTCATTTCGATGTACGTGCCCGACGCTTCATACTAGGTGGTCTAAATAGGCCTGTAAACCAAATATCTTATTACGTGATGTCGTAACTTTATGTTAATTTTTCAACAAAGATGTGTTCGTTAGTATGTAGGAGCAGCTAAGCCGTTTTTAGATGGGGGGAGGTCCTGTTTCAGTAGAGGACTTCCTCAGGAAAGATTTAAATGTACCCGAACTTTAATCGTGACTTGAAAACGTAAAACGAATTTAAATGCCAAGTCCAGTTCTTTAATGATACAAAATGACAAATGCTTCACCCCATTCTCATAGTGCTGCAGCTGACTGATGGCGCGTGTTTATTAAATAATAAAGGCGACATGACGGACATGCATTGGGCATGAAATGTCTTTTTATTCCCGAGACGTCTTCTCATCACGATTATTTGGCAAATGTAGCCGGGACGCTTTTGCTGCTCGTTAGACTTTTGCGTGTATTTATTATTTTTTTCGAAATAAGTACTAACCCTTTCAAACCGAATGAATGAGACAGAAGAGTAGGGGGGGGAGTAGTGAGGGAAACTACATTTAATTTGGTGAAGGTGACATATTTAAGCTGAAGCTCGTGTAAAAATAATTAAGAATTCAATGCATACCGCAAGGAGAACAAGCAGTTCTCCATTATAAACCGGATTGATCAGTTATTTTTAAGGAAATAACCCATTTTTTCACTGTGAATCATACGAAACCCCTGAATACTAGATGCAGAGTTACTTATTGTCAAAGTAGGTGGCACATATACTTGCTGAACTGTTGGATTATATGATGTCGCTGTTAATTTACGTTTCATTCTAGGGCGTTTTAAATTTTGTACTGATTTCATAGCATGGAATGATAGCATCCATTTAGGTGAATTAAGGAAGACGACGATAATGTCCCAGGAGCCATCTTCTGCGATGTGAATCAAACTCGAAGCTATAACATCAAAACTGTTCTGATCTGATCTACTTCCATCCACCTCCCATCTTGTCTGCTTATGTACTATGTGAAATAAGTCAGTCTTTCAGTGAAATATTTTAATACCCTTCGCCACCAAAATTCGGTATGTATTCCTTGTCTCCCCATGTTCAAATGTGATCGCCCCTTAGGTGGAACCATGCCCCCTACCTCTTTCACTGTTATACTAGCGTTCCGAAACACTAAATCCACCGATTTCCATACCAGAGGCCGTAACGACATCTTTTGAACATAAAGGCTAAATATTTCTTATTGGATAAATGAGACGATGTATGTTAGGGGGTTCGTACCCGGACCTGCATGTTTTAACCCTATCCTACCCTTCTCGTTGCTTCTCCTCACTATTTTAATGAGATGCATGTCATGCAGATGTCGCCAGCAACGTCATGGCCTTCTCAGTTGGAAGATCTCGTTAGCTTCATCCACCCCCAGCCCCAAGATGGCAGCAAAAGCTCGTATGCAAATTGAACATCGCTGCCACAAAAAGCTGACTGTCGCTGTCCGCCTTTGGCATCTGATATTAAAATGCCGAAAGCTGTGGGTTGTGCACTTATTAATGATAATGACAAAGAGGAAACCTATAAAATACATTTTCAGTTTTATAATTTTAAGAGAACGTGTTTTTATAAGGCTGGTGGAGTTACATGTTGGGGTTCTTAATGTCGCCCTCAAAAATAGGTAATATTTTCATTCTATAAATTATGAGAGCCATTAATCCAATTTTATAATTTTGCAATTTTACATGCTTCTGTTTGTGTTTTGCTGATTAACACACAGCATCAAGTTAAATAGATCCTTAGTCCTTACTCTGTAGTACTTCTCCTATTGACAATCCGTCTTAAATTGTATTTGTTGTATGTCTGCACACTGAAGTGTCTGTCGTAATGAATTGTGTGATAAAATAAGACTGTTGGAAACATAAATTGTCGTAATAAAACCAGATAGCATTTCTGCTGTTCACTCAACTCTTGAAACGTGGAAGAAAACATATTTTAAATATTATTGAATACTTTCAGAATACAATATGTATTAATCATTTGAAGCTAAGTGGTATATACGAACAACCTGATTTAAGATTCAGTAACCCATTATTCCCTCTAGGAGTTTATTTACGGGTTTTAGTATGTTTATCAGAATAAACAGCAATTATTTTGCTAAATAGTATTAATCATTGATCTTTATAATGACTACGTTTTTTATGTAGGGGCTGAATTTTGAAATATTATACAGTTTAATTTGAATAAACAAAGTCATTTATGGTTTTAGCTTGTGGCCGTGTAGTTTAAATGTTAATAAAATATTTTGGGTAGAGGTAAACATTGCGCTTTTATGCTTATGTGGACAAATACGGTAATAAGACGAAGTGAGTTATTCCGTTCTTAAACTTTATTTAAGATAACATCGAAACCAACAGAAATATGATAATGCTTTATACATTTGTTGTGCTGCTTCTACAAAACCTCGAAATAAAAAACCCTTCCCGTTTGATATCTATCTGTCGTGATTTAGTGGGCCCAATCTAAGAGATCGTTAGTTCCTGTGTTTGCTTCTCTGACACGTCGGAGAAAAACAACTCTTTTTGTCTTCAGCATCCAAGGATATATCGGGCGCAGACAGACATGTCCACGGACAGACAGACTTGCATATATTAAATTGCAAAGTAGTTGCCGGGAGGTCTCTGCAACTGAAGTGTATCACCGTTAATCTTATGTGCTCTAGAGAAGTATTCCATGACTCTGCCTCTTTATAGGTACAAATCTACAGTGAAAAATGTTTGACCCAACCACTTTACATCGAACTTCTTTGTGTAGTGTTTAGCATTCCTAATATATATCCTTATAGCTCGGAAAAGCGTCCTTAAATGAAACAACAAATACACAAATTTAAGGACGTTGCACTTTGAACTTTTGATTTTGAAGTTTGTCTTCTCTGTTAAGTACCACATATTGAAGGCACTTAGCAAAGAGTTGCATTTAAACCCTGACTTCTTGTTCGAATGCTGCAGAGTAATTATGAAGAAAATATGACGGGTTGTTAACAACAGAAATATAGATCAGTTTATTTGTTGATGTGCTTGACAGCAGCTAATAATGATAATAATAATAATAATAATAATAACAATAATGTAATCTCACAATTTTACTTTAACCTTCCATTAACTCGTTTATCTCTTGTTTCGCTGTTCTTTCTCATACTTTATTTATTTATTTTATTTGTACTTATCTTTTTCGTTCTTTTCCTTTCTTTCTTTTTATTCATTGGGCCTGTTGTTGTTATATCATCAAAGGTACAGCCATAAAATAAATTTGTAGCTTTGACATGTACATCAAAAACGTTCTTTATGTAGGTTAAATGCTGCAGTTTTTGGACTATTTTTGCATGCGGTGAACTAAATAAACACTTATGATAGTGAACGCAACTAAGTAACTTATTTGGCTAATTTCATGATGCAATGTCTTCGTCGGAAAGTGTACAATTAATAATTTCAGTGCTTGAAGATGGCTGTCATCCGGGACATTGCGCCGTGTAGTCTGGTAGATATAGATTAACGCTTCAGATTTAACTCATCGCCCTGAAGATGGAGGCAATAAGCTCCTTTGAAGTGCTGATCGATGTCTACTACACTGCAAGGCAACATCCCGCATGACAGCCATCTTCATACTCGTCACCGTGCGAGCCTGAAAACTTACTCAGTTGAATGCTTTATTTAATTGGATCGGTGGTTCCTCACCACGTTCAAAGACATGAAAGTGTGTGTTCCGTTTGCTCCACAGACCGCGCTGCACTGGGCGGCTAAGCACGGGAACGCCGATGTTGTGAAGCTGATAGCCGGGACTTACAACGCAGAAATCAACGCCAGATCGGTGAGTGAGCAGGAATACATTTAATTCTCTTGAATCAGCCGTTCTGAAGATATTCCGTCTGACATCTCTTCTGTTCCTTTGTCACTCCCCGAACGAAAATGTACGTAAACTCTTTGCGACATTTCAGGCAGATATTGACCGACGTTTCAGTGGTGTTTGTCTCCACCATGAGGGCGATGATGATCAGTAAATACCTATAAAACGTCGGCCAGTTTATACCAGACTACACGGCGAAACATTCTAGAAGACAAACGTTTTCGTACCTAAACTCGTAAAAGATAAACCCATAAATTGTCGATATACGGAACTATTAGTAAGCTATAAGACGTATGGAGGACTTAGGAACAGAGGTCCACGTATTACATAAATCAGGACTGCCTGCTTCCGGAAGACTGAGTGGAAGTGAAGATTGTTTAAAATAAACATTCGGGGAATAAGATGTATACTAGGAGTTGAGTCGAAGTGACTAGGGTTACGGTGTTGCATTGCAGACTTTTTAGTTCTACTGGAAGAACTGCGATGTACAATAGGTCTGTTTATTTGGTGTTTTTGTGCGCTTTTACAATTGGCTTCTGTGTTTGAAGGTCAGTAAATTCCATGGACAAGTCCATGCTCAGAGGTATTTTAGTTTGAAACACCTCCCTGTGCTCTTCTTTAAAATTTCTGGGTCCACAAGAAAAGTAACTTACTTTACGACACTTTGGTCCTATACACATCGACAATAAATGAACAATTATATACCACGTGCGAAACTTTTAAGAACACACAAAACCATGTTTACTCCAACCTTCTTAATTTGTATTGAAGGAATATCTCAATTAAAAGTTTGCAGAATTTGGGTAATAAGGTAATGTGTCGTAATTTCTTTCCGAAAAACACCTTCTGTTTTAAAATTGGTATGGTGTACTTTGTGAACTAGCTATTTGGA